ATCTATATATATCAGTGCTGATCAGAGTCTATATCATCTATATCATATATATCAGTGCTGATCAGAGTCTATATCATCTATATATCAGTGCTGATCAGAGTCTGTATCATCTATATATCAGTGCTGATCAGAATCTATATCATCTATATATATCAGTGCTGATCAGAATCTATATCATCTATATATCAGTGCTGATCAGAGTCTGTATCATCTATATATCAGTGCTGATCAGAATCCATATAATTTATTAATCAGTATTGATCAGGCTCTATATCATCTATATATCAGTGCTGATCAGAATCTATATCATCTATATATCAGTGCTGATCAGAGTCTATATCATCTATATATCAGTGCTGATCAGAATCCATATAATTTATTAATCAGTATTGATCAGAATCTGTATCATCTGAATATTGTATTGATCAGAATCAGTATATCATCTATATATAAGCACTGATCAGTATCCATATCATATAAATATTAATATTGATTGGAATCTGTATATATATATATCAGTACTAATCAGAATCTGTAGCATCAGTATTGATCAAAATTTATATCAAATATATATATAGTACTGTTCAGATCTGTATCATCATCTATGTATCAGTACTGATCAGAATTTATATCTTTTTTGTATATCATCCGAATTTGTATCATCTATATATCAGTATTGATTGGAATCTGTATTATGTGGATATCAGTATTGATCAGAAAATGTATTATATATATATATATATATATAATATATCAGTATTGATCAAAATCTGTATCATTTGTATCCTAACCTGTACAATCTGTATATCAGTATTGATCAGAATCTGTACAATCTATATGTCAGTATTGATCAGAATCTGTACAATCTATATGTCAGTATTGATCAGAATCTGTACAATCTATGTATCAGTATTGATCAGAATCTGTACAATCTATGTATCAGTATTGATCAGAATCTGTACAATCTATGTATCAGTATTGATCAGAATCTGTACAATCTATGTATCAGTATTGATCAGAATCTGTACAATCTATATGTCAGTATTGATCAGAATCTGTACAATCTATGTATCAGTATTGATCAGAATCTGTACAATCTATGTATCAGTATTGATCAGAATCTGTACAATCTATATGTCAGTATTGATCAGAATCTGTACAATCTATATGTCAGTATTGATCAGAAGATTTTTAGTGTTTGTTAAACTGTAATTTTCATTTCAATGTCCTCACAAAACAGGACAAGAAGCAAAATAAACGCAGCACTGTAGGGTATATTTAGACGCAAGGGTGTCAAACTGGCGGCCCTCCAGCTGTTGTGGAACTACAAATCCCATGAGGCATTGCAGGGCTGACAGTTACAAGCGTGACTCCTAAAGGCAGAGGCATGATGGGACTTGTAGTTTGGCTAGAGGGCCCCCCGTTTGACACCCCTGATATAGAGTGAAGAGGCGCCCTCTTGTGGTACATTCATAGATGTAGCTATTCGGAGATGGACTCGTTCTTCATGACTCTAAAATACTGAAGCCATAGGATCAGCATGACAGCCAAGGAAGGGATTTGGGTTCGGATTTTAGACCACGTTTGCTCTCGGTGACTGATGCAGTCACGTGCTGATCCGGTATTAATCATCTATTTTTCTTCTTTTTTTTTTTTTTGCAGAAGATGCAGAGCTGGTACAGTGTAAGTTCCTGGCTGTCCTCCCGCATGGCCCCGCCTCTCTGACACAACTCTACCTAAAGGAATTCTGTAGTTCATCTCTAATGTTAAATTTTGGTTGGACCGGCACCATAAACCTCTCCACACCTTACAATCTGATTGTACAATCTGCTTCAGGTCTCCCAACAACTATGTAGTGCAAGCGCTTGTCTGATTGGATACAAACACATCGAGATAGGCGGGGACACCTAAAATTCCCAGGAGTCAGGTATATCAGAGAGAGGAGGAGCTAGGAACACACAAAGGTGGGCGGGGTCAGCCAAAAGTCATAGGCATGCAGGAACAAAGTCAGGAATATCGGGGACAAGAGGAGCTGAAAACACACAAATGTGGACGGGGGACACAAACAACTCACAAAAGTACAGGAACAAGGAGGGGAGGAGTTGGGAACCCACCCAAAGATGGATGGTGACACCCAGAATCAGGAATATCAGGGAGAGGAGAAGCCAGGGGAAACACACAAAGGGGGATGGGGACACCCAGAATCAGGAATATCAGGAGAGGAGGAGCTGGGGACACACAAAGGGGATGGGGACACCCAGAATCAGGAATATCAGGGAGAGAGAGGAGCTGGGGACACACAAAAGGGGATGGGGACACCCAGAATCCGGAATATCATGGAGAGAAGGGGCTGGGGACACACAAAAGGGATGGGGACACCCAGAATCAGGAATATCAGGGAGTGGAGGTGCTGGGGACACACAAAAGGGGATGGGGACACCCAGAATCAGGAATATCAGGGAGAGGAGGAGCTGGGGACACACAAAAGGGGATGGGGACACCCAGAATCAGGAATATCAGGGAGAGGAGGAACTGGGACACACACAAAGGGGGATGGGGACACCAGAATCAGGAATATCAGGAAGAGGAGGAGTGGGGAACACACAAAGGTGGGCGGGGTCAGCCAAAAGTCATAGGCATGCAGGAACAAAGTCAGGAATATCGGGAAAAGAGGAGCTGAAAACACACAAATGTGGACAGGGGACACAAACAACTCCCAGAAGTACAGGAACAAGGCGAGGAATATCAAGGAGAGGAGGAGTCTGGAACACGCAAAAGTGGGCGGGAACACTAAGAACAGCATTGGAAGGTAGGAAGAGAGTCAGGAATATCATAGAGGAGGAATCAGGAGCACACAAAGGTGGGTGGGAAGAGAGCAAAAAAAAGGAGGACGGGAACAGAGTTAGGAATATCAGGGAGGGGAGGTGTTGGGAACCCACAAAGGGGGATGGGGACACCTAGAATCAGGGAGGGAGGAGCTGGGGACACACAAAGGGGGATGGGGACACCTAGAATCGGAATATCAGGGAGAGGAGGAGCTGAGGACACACTATGGAGGCAGGGACACCCAAACCCTCACAGATGTGCAGGAACAAAGTCAGGAATATCAGGGAGAGGAGCTGGGGACCCACAAAGATGAATGGGGTCACACAGAATCAGGAATATCATGGAGAGGAGGAGCTGGGAACACACGAAGCAGGCCTGAACACCCCCAAACCTGCCTAGTGTGCAGGAACAAATCCAGGAACATCAGGAAGGGGAGGAGTTGGGAACCCACAAAGCTGGATGGGGACACCCAAACCTCCCAGATGTGCAGGAACAAAGTCAGGAACATCAGGAAGGGGAGGAGTTGGGAACCCACAAAGCTAGATGGGGACACCCAAACCTCCCAGATGTGCAGGAACAAAGTCAGGATTATCAGGGAGAGGAGGAGCTGGGACCCACAAAGATGAATGGGGACACCCAGAATCAGGAATATCATGGAGAGGAGGAGCCAGGAACACACGAAGGAGGTCGGGACACCCAAACCTACCTAGTGTGCAGGAACAAAGTCAGGAACATTAGGAAGGGGAGGAGTTGGGAACCCACAAAGGTGGATGGGGACACCCAAAACTCATAGGTGTGCAGGAATAGAATCAGGAACATCAGGGAGAGGAGGAGGGGGACTCCCAAACCTCCCAGGTGTGCAGGAAAAAAGTCAGGAATATCAGGAAGGGGAAGAGTTGGAAACCCACAAAGCTGGATGGGGACACTCAAAACTTATAGTAACAGAGTCAGGTAAGTCAGGGATTGCAGGAGCTGGGGACACAAAGGTGGATGGGGACACCCAGAGTTTGGAATATCAGAGAGATCTCACTGGTTAAGCAGAATCCGGGATATCAGGGACAGTAGGAGCTGGGAACACACAAAGGAGGCGGGGACACCCAAAACTCCCAGGTGTGTCAGGAAAATCAGGGACTGCAGGAGCTGGAAACGCAAAAAGGTAGGTGGGGACACCCAAAAACTTATTGAAAGATAGGAAATGAGTCAGGAATATCAGGAAGAGGAGGAACCGAGAACCCACAAAGGTGGGTGTAGACACCCAAAGCTCCCAGGTATGCAGGAATAGAGTCAGGACTATCAGGGATTGGAGGAGCTGGGAACACAGAGTAAGGAATATCTCACTGGTGGAGCATTCAAGCCTCATAGGATTTCAGGGGTTGGCTTAGATTACCAGGCTCCGCCCATAATTAAACCTTCACTTTTGAGTGGACAAACCCTACTAACATGTATATTTACATTTTTTAGAAAGTCAGTAGATTCATTTTAAAGCCGCAGGCTGCTATGCGTTGGCCTCCTGTGAGCCTTTCATATGTCTTGTAGATGTTGAGCCCCACCTACAAGCAGCGAAACGAAGACTTCCGCAAGATCTTTAAGAAGCTTCCCGATTCTGAGCGTCTAATTGTGGGTGAGTGGCAGCCGTCCCGAATCCTGATCTCACCATGTACAATGTATCCACCATACAATGTATCCATGTGGTGTGATGTCACCATACAATGTATCCATGTGGTGTGTATGATGTCACCATACAATGTATATATAGAGTGGTGTATGATGTCACCATACAATGTATATATATAGAGTGGTGTATGATGTCACCATACAATGTATATATAGAGTGGTGTATGATGTCACCATACAATGTATATATAGAGTGGTGTGTGATGTCACCATACAATGTATATATAGAGTGGTGTATGATGTCACCATACAATGTATATATAGAGTGGTGTATGATGTCACCATACAATGTATAGATAGAGTGGTGTATGATGTCACCATATAATGTATCCATGTGGTGGTGTATGATGTCACCATACAATGTATCCATGTGGTGGTGTATGATGTCACCATACAATGTATATATAGAGTGGTGTATGATGTCACCATACAATGTATATGTAGAGTGGTGTATGATGTCACCATACAATGTATATGTAGAGTGGTGTATGATGTCACCATACAATGTATATGTAGAGTGGTGTATGATGTCACCATACAATGTATGTACAATCCATGCAATGCATACAATGTCATCCTAATCCCTGCACCCCCCCCCCATCAGATTACTCGTGTGCGCTCCAGAAAGACATCCTCCTCCAGGGAAGACTCTACTTATCGGAGAATTGGATCTGTTTCTATAGCAATATTTTCCGCTGGGAGACCACGGTGAGTGCAGCACCAACTGACGCATTTTTCTCCTTCCTCGGGCTTTGTTAACAGTGTTTAAACACAGCTGTGAAAATTGCCGAGCGACTCGCGGGAACGGCGGGCGAAGTGTAACGCCGGAATAAATTGTCGCTGAGCTAATCGGGGGTTGTACTGGAGTGTGTTAAGTGGCAGAATGATATTATAGGGAGGTAGTCGCAGTATTTTTGTGACAGGTATTTATCGGGGTCCAGCAATTTACACAGCACTTTATTGTACAGTCACATCAGTCCCTGAGCCCAAGGAGCTTGCAATCTAAAGTCCCTATTTCACATTCATACAGTATACTAGGAGCCAGTAGCTCACCAGCATGTCTTTGGAGTTTGAGAGGAAACCCAGCAAGCACAAGGGATATATGCCGAGTGGGGGTGCCGCACCGGGTGACACCATCACAGGAGGTGACACCAAAATGAAAAGAGATGAGCTGTCAGTGGCTGTCATCATCCAAGCGGAGTGTCCCCCGTCCCAGGGGTGGATTGACAACTCATGGGGCCCCCGGGCAATAGGGGATCATAGGGCTCCTGTGTCCTCGCCCACAACTCAAACCACACCCAAAAAAGCCTATGAAAGGTACCTGGGGTATCTCATGAGCCCCCTACTGACCCTGACCCTGGAATGGTCAGTTCACCCCTGCCCCATCCTCTCCCTGGGTACCGGGGCTCGTCATCTCTCCTGCAGCCCCAGCCCATGCTAGGATAAGATGTCGGGCCCCATCAGGAGGGGGGGGGGGGTGTGTCCGATCCCCAGGATCAGGCCAATTCACACACAACTGTCCCCGTACACCGCATCAGAGCCCAACCTCCCCCTGATTGGACGGCTCCTACTCTACATGTCAGTCCATGAATGGTGATGACCCCACCCATTGCTCGCCCCTCTGCATCACACATCACTGGCCAGTCCCTGCACAGGACATCCTTCCCAACACAGAGCCCAGGACCGGGGTGACACCACGTGTTATTGCACCGGGCGACACCAACCCTAATGAAGCCTCTGTATATGCAAACTCCATGCAGATAGTATCCTGATCTGGATTTGAATTGCGGGACCCCAAGTGTGTATTTTTGGATAGAGCAGAACACAGTCAGAGCCTCTTGGGCTAGAGTTCACCTAGAGCCTGGGACTGGGGTGACACCACGTGTTATCACACCGGGTGACACCAACCCTAGCGACGCCTCTGTATATGCAAACTCCATGCAGATAGGGCTCTGATTGGATTTGAATTGGGGACCCAAGTGTGTATTTTTGGATAGAGCAGGACACAGTCAGAGCCTCTTGGGCTAGAGTTCACCTAGAGCCTGGGACTGGGGTGACACCACGTGTTATCACACCGGGTGACATCAACCCTAGTGACGCCTCTGTATATGCAAACTCCATGCAGATAGGGCCCTGATTGGATTTGAATTGGGGACCCCAAGTTTGTATTTTTGGATAGAGCAGGACACAGTCAGAGCCTCTTTGAGCTGGAGTTCACCTTTCAACGTTCTCAGATGGCCACAGTGGAGACTCCCAAACTCTGTGCAACCAAATGGAACATAACAAGTGATAAATGGTGACCATCTTAGGTTCTGGTTTGGGTTTGGGCCACACCTAAATGCAGCCAAACCAAAAGTTAGCTGTCATTACTGGACCAATGATCTGTGAGCAGCAGATTCCCTACCACCCACAGGTAGCATACACAAAGGGGCAGGGATGAGTGTGACACCATTGACCTATTATGGGTATGGAAGCTCCCAACCACAGCTCAGCAATGGCGGCCAACTTCCGGGTTCAACAGAACCCAAGCTCATCCCTAGTAATGAATTGTATATACACCTTTGACTGATTTGCCACCCCGGCTAAGAATGTCCACCTGGCTGGAAAGGTTTATAAAGGTGGAGATGCCCTTTACAAGAGGAGACATGGTGTGAAAAGTGAATTTTAATTATTTTTTTTTGGAATTTCTTTTGGAATTTCAGATCACTATCCAGCTGAAGGACATCCGATGCATCAAAAAAGGAAAAGACAGCGAAACTGATTCCCAACGCCATCCAAGTTTGCACTGAGAATGATAAGGTGAGGGACCACAATACTTGTCCACCTCGAATGACATTAAATGGGACCAGTAGTGCCGCCCAGGATATTCATTGATCACAATGTTATAGTAAAGTTTGCTCTCTTGGGATACTAGACATGGAGTATCTTACTGAGCTATTCTATATGGTCAGAGGTTTGCAACCATCACACCTATGTGAGCTTGTTGGACATTCCAAAAACATGACCAACAATATGGAGCTCCTCCATTCCTGGCTATAACATCCTCCGCTTTTCCTCTTTCCGCTCAAATTAAAGACTTTGGAAGGTGTCTGTGGGAATTTGGCCCATTTGTGAGTCAGGTACTGATGTTGGATGAGAAGACCTGGCTCACCATCAGTGTTCCAGTTTGTATCCAAAAGGTGTTCAGTGGGTATGAGTATCAGGATACTGAGTTCCCTGTATCATACTGACAGATGGTCATTATGGTATGGGGACTTTTTGTACCCAGGGGACAGTCATATTGGAACTGAAAATGGCCTTTTGGAAGGTGCCTGGAAATTTAGCCCATTTGTGAGGTCAGGTACATGAGTGGGATGAGAAGACCTGGCTCACCATACAGTGTTCCAGTTCTTCCAAAGGTGTTCAGTAGGGTTGAGGTCAGGAGTATCTTGAGTTCCTCCGCACCAAACTGGTGAAGCCATGTCATTATGGGACTGGCTATGTACCCAGGGACAGTCAAAATTAGAACTGAAAATGGCCTCCTGCCTATCTGGGACCACAAGGCTGGAAGAGCACAATTGACTTCAATGACTTTTTAAGATGTAGCATTAAGTGCTGAGTATCTTTGTATCATACAAATAATGGGGTACTGTGTAAATAAATAAATATATAGCATATATGTAAGGTAACAGTGAGTGTAAGTGCTATAGTGCTAACAGTTCCTTTTTAAACACTGGTACATTGTAACCAATAGTGTATATGGAAATCTTTAAAAGTCAAACTGAATCCATAATATATCAGTGATGATAAATAAATAAACAAGTATCTTTTTTATATGGTGTGAGTGACAAATAATCTTATATCTCCAAAAAATTCCCTGTCTCCTCATTCACTATTTGAAGTGAAAAAGTACTCATCATAATAAAAGGTGAACTGACGTGGGTCTACAAAGTTTCCAAATGGTCAACCTTTTAAGTGCATTGTATAGAAAATGGGATATGATATGTAAAATGGTACTAGTATCTTTGTATGGTATATATTGTATAATAGAGTCCATGCAAGTGTAACTTGTGATAGAACGGTGGTCTTCACTTCTAGTGCTCTGAGTATCAAATCCTCAAATGGCAGCAGTAATGGGACCTCCCCGCACTGAGTATCTCAAGGGTAAAAGGCTACTGATTCCTCTACAGGCCAATGGGTTTTTCCTCCTCCTCTCGGTAGCTGAGCAGGTGTATCACAGACAGGGTCTTGACTTCTCCTCCACTATATGTCATAAAGGACACAAAACAGAGCTTCCCATAGTGTAATCTTGTTTAATATAAGACAGTGGGTCTGATTACATATCGGTTGTACTCACATTTGATTTCCTGGTTACAAAAGCCTTCCACCTCATCCCATAGGTGTATCTCATGAACACTTTGGAATCATACACATGGTGAGTATCTTTGTATCATACATGGTCCCACGTGACCGGAAGTGACGTATTCTTAAACTGAGTATCTGGCGTATCATACAGACAGTTGCGTCAGTATCTCGTGTACTATCATCAGGGTTAACTGAGTAGTAGCCTTTTGGCCCCTTAAGGGTCAGTGCGGGGATCTTTGTATCAGACAGGGGCTGAGTATCTTTGAGGAGTACTGAGTATCTTTGTTTTGATTATACAGACAGTGGGTGCTGAGTATCTTTGTATCATACAAGTTACACAGGCATGGACTGAGTATTTTTTATACATATATACTGAGTATCTTTTTATACATACAGACAGTGGGTTCTGAGTATCTTGTATCTTATACAGACAGTGGGTGCTGAGTATCTTTGTATCAGTACTGAGAGTATCTTTTATTATCATACAGACAGTGGGTGCTGAGTATCTTTGTATCATACAGACAGGAATTTTTTGGAGTATAAGTATTATACAGACAGTGTGCTGAGTATGTTTATTTATACATCACTGAGTATCTTATGTATCAGACAGACAGTGGGTGCTGAGTATCTTTGTATCAGACAGACTAGTGGTTGCTGAGTATACAGTTTGTACAGGACTGAGTATCTTTGTATCATTACAGACAGTGGGTTTGAGTATCTTTGTATCATACAGACAGTGGGTGCTGAGTATCTTTGTATCATACAGACAGTGGGTGCTGAGTATCTTTAGTATCATACAGACAGTGGGTTCTGAGTATCTTTGTATCAGACAGACAGTGGGTGCTGAGTATCTTTGTATCATACAGATGTATCTGTCACGTAGTCACACTCCTGATCCCTGGATCTCACCCCTCGGTGGCGTATTTCCCGTTTCCTGGGTATTAGTACTCTCCCCCGGCTCCATGCTCCGATCCCTGCGCCCTCTGGTCCAGTAAGATCACACGGATGCGCGGTGCCTCGCGGGACATCCTCCCCAGTTATCAGTCCCTCCACAGATTGATAGTACTTATCGCTGGCTGCCTGAACTTTACTCTCGGTGTTACTATCAGAACATTGTTATCAGCACAATGACGGGTTCAGCTTTCAGCTCTCCTGGCAGCGGCACTCATTGTTGCAGCGTGGAGTAGTGTAGCCGATCCCCGGCGCTGCACACACCTCACCTGGCCAGGTACCTCCCATGGATTTCAAGGGGGTGATAGATTCTGCTTGTGGTGGAATCAGGGGGGTGGGGGGGATGTTGAAAACCCTCGGTGTGCTTAACATTTTATTTCCATATTTCTGAGAATTGACGCTCCCCATCTGTTTGTGTTGCAGCATTTCTTCACATCGTTCGGGGCCCGGGACCGCTCCTTCCTGCTGATATTCCGCCTGTGGCAGAATGCACTACTAGATAAGGTAAGAAAGTACCCTGGACCTGCTTCTTTAGGGCGTCCCTAGGGTTGGTGTCACCCGTTGCGTTAACATTTGGTGACACCCCCTCCGACGATCCCCGCAGGATGGATCGGATCTGCGGATTGAGCATAATGGATCGGACTCCGATCCATTATCATCCCCAATCCACAGATCCGATCCATCCTGCGGGGATCGTCGGCTTTTACTTTCTGGTGTCACAACTGACCGTTTCGTGGAGCACCCCCCGGGTCCGGTGTCACCCCATATAGGTTGCATGCTGACGATCCCCGCAGGATGGTTCAGATCTGCGGATCGAGCATAATGGATTGGAGTCCATTATCCATTATGCTCCCCCGGTCCGCAGATCCGATCCATCCTGGATCTGCGGGATGGATCGTCGGCTTTCTTTACAACTTTCCTTTTTAATGGAGTGGGTCCGATGTCACTCCATGTGGTAGGTGTCACCCGGTGTGGCGCGCACCCCCCCGCACCTGCCTCGGGACTGCCACTGCCCCCCCCCCCTTCCTCTCAATGATAACAAATACCTGAAAAGTTATTTATTAGAAAGAGTTCATAGATTCTGAGCCAGGCTCATCTTCGGGTCATGTGACCAACAGGCACCAGTCAGAGGCAAAGCTGCTGATTGGCTGTGAATGAATGCCAGCCCCAGAAGATCCTCTGCTGGAAGATTTGCAGCCACACCAGTGCCCCGAGCTTGGCAGTGGTCACATGACTCGCTCCTATCCCGAGTTTTTTTTTCCAGCTGCAGCGCTTTCTGTTTTTGTTTTTTTTTTTTTTTTTTTTTTTTTACATAATATATACAGCTGCATTGAGGTTAAAGTAGAACTAAAGGCAAATTTTTTTCTTTTTTTTTTTAATTGGATAGAAGAGAGAGGCTTACAACCCCAGTTTTCTTTTCCATCTCTGTCCCATTGGGGAGATTTTCCTTCATTTCCTGTTCCATAGCCAAAGGAAATCCCTGCAAAGTGAGTAAGTCCCCTGGTTGTGACCACAACTTGTGTCCCCATTGGAAGATTTTCCCTCTGTTGCTGTTCTGGTGACAACCCAAAAGTTGGGATTTTTCTTTCACTTTCACAGGACAAATAGAGAGGGTGAATCTCCCTAACAGGGGCCGCAGACAGGAATAAAAGCCTGACAGGGGTTCTAATCCCTCTCCACTCTATTCAAAACTGACTTTACATACACTATAGCAGGGGCGGACTGACAACTCATGGGGTCCCCGGGTAATAGGGGATCATGGGGCCCCTGTGTTATTTCATTGACCAAACTCAAAAAAGCCTATGAAAAAGGTACCAGGGGCATCTCATGGGGCCCCCTACTGACTGACCCCGGGCCCTCGGGCAGTGCCTGAGTTTCCAAATGGTCAGTCTGCCCCTGCACTATAGGGACAATAACAAGCAGGGCAAGGCCAATGGGTGGACAGGAGGGGTGGCTGCCCTGGGCACCTTCTTGCTGTTCAAGGCTGACAGGAGTAGTGACAGCAGCATCACTACTCCTGTCAGCCCAGCTCTGGGAGTGGCAAGGACAGAGCCGGGAGGTGGTGCGGGCTGTGTTCTCTCTCCCCCTCCTTCCTGTCTCTAGTGGAGGGACTGTGTTGGAAAAACTGCGCACTTCTAGGTCAATGCAAAACGGACAGATCAAGAGCTGCAGAACGATTGGGCGCTGCTTCTGGGCAGTGCCCCGAGTTTCCAAATGGTCAGTCTGCCCCTGCACTATAGGGACAATAACAAGCAGGGCAAGGCCAATGGGTGGACAGGAGGGGCGGCTGCCCTGGGCACCTTCTTGCTGTTCAAGGCTGACAGGAGTAGTGACAGCAGCATCACTACTCCTGTCAACCAAGCTCTGGGAGTGGCAAGGACAGAGCCGGGAGGTGGTGCGGGCTGTGTTCTCTCTCCCCCTCCTTCCTGCCTCTACTGGTGGGACTGTGTTGGAAATACTGCGCACTTCCAGGTCGATGCAAAACGGACAGATCAGGAGCTGAAGAACGATTGGGCGCTGCTTCTGGGCGTAGGATCCCCTAAGCTTGCACACCATGAAGGGGGGAGGGGCACATTTTGGGATCTTTGCCCTGGACGCTGGATGAGCATGTCCCGGCACTGACAACAAGGATACAATACTGTGTATCACAGAGGCCCCTTGGAGCATTTACAGTTTTAATTCAGTAAGGCTTTATTCACATTTATGCGTTCCAGGAACGCGCAGAAAAATACGCTGTGACGGAAGTGACTTTGGGTGGGGGGCCCATGGAACACAACTCACTTTGGAGGGGTGGGGAGACCCCTTTCTTAGCTCCCCATATCCCTCTTATGTGTAAGTCACCCTGTGCCTGTTAGGGGTACAGGGTGAAATGTCCTAATATTGGGGTGGGGGGGTTGTGGATTGTTTGGTGTCATGTGGTTGCATCCCACTGTTCTATTGTGTGTCTTGCTTGGGAGCAAAACTATTATGGGATATATGTGTTTGTGTATTGGCTTGGTGGGGGGTGTCTGCTGATGTGTTTTTTTGTTGCTAGATTTGTTTTGTGTTGCCCTGCGTCCTTATGCAGGGAGGGGAAAATTGTTCTCTTGAATGTACTGTGTATATCTTGTGTCTGTGTTACAATAAAGGAGTCTATTTCCTGATTTATTTCAAGTCTGGTGCTGTCTCATAATGTATGGTCAGCGGTGGTGTCCGTGGATCTGTGTTCAGACAGGGAAGCGGGAGTCTAACAGAAATACCCAGTCAGGGTCCGGTTCCATTACATACGCATTTTCCCGCACGTTCCCGTAACATGCAAAAAAAACATATCACGCCTGCGATGCTATTGATTGCTAATGGCACTCCCAAATGCGGCAAGCAGACGCATGTTTTGCAGCGTGCGCGGTAAAACGTGAGGCAAAAAGACACGCAAAGTGGAAGTTTGTCGCACATAGGACAGCCCATCGAAATCAATAGGCCGCCCTATCGCGACGCATGAATAATGCTCAAAAAACGTGCGTTTCCAATACGCTAGGCGCGAATGGGGCCTCAGGGGTTAAAGTGGTGTGTACCCATCCCGCCATGATTGAAGGCATCATTAGAAGCTGGCCGTTCCCGGCAACAAAGGGGAAGGAGGGGGGGGGGGGGGGGTGCTGTGTGTAATCACAAACAGAATACTGCTAATAAAATTATAACGTCACTAAATCAAGCAGAACATTTTATGTGGAGATAATGCTGGACGCGGCTCAGAACTTCGTCAGCGATGTCAGCGTAGGATGAAGGTGACACAAAGCAGACGGAGCACGAGGCGGGTTAGATGGGGTCAGCGCGATCGACGCTACAGGACCGCCAACCATACCGGGCCAATACTGTGACCCAGAACTTTGCATCCAGGATTTACCCCACGTCTCCTTACTACCCTTCATTAGTGGTCTGGGAACCCTGGATTGTCATGCAGAGATTCTCAAACACACCCATTGCTGCCCTCTACTCTTATTTAAATCTGGCCTCCGGCCTCCCCTTCAGTCTTGCACAGCTGTACCGGCTCCTCCCCTTCAGTCTTGCACAGGTGTAGTGGCTCCTCCCCTTCAGTCTTGCACAGGTGTACCAGCTCCTCCCCTCCAGTCTTGTACAGGTGTACCGGCTCCTCTGCTTAAGTCTTGCACAGGTGTACCTGTTCCTCCCCTTCAGTCTTGCACAGGTGTACTGGCTCCTCCCCTTCAGTCTTGCACAGCAGTACTGGCTCCTCCCCTTCAGTCTTGTACAGATGTACCGGCTCCTCCCCTTCAGTCTTTCACAGGTGTATCGGTTCCTCTCCTGGACTGAAACGGCTTCCTCTGATTTCTCTTCACACTGTGAGCTTCTAACAATGTGTATTAGAAGCTGCAGCAAGTCAGATGGAGCTCCGCCCCTTCTGCCTTGCACAGGTGTAGTGGCTCCTCCCCTTTCAGTCTTACACAGGTGTACTGACTCCTCCCCTTCAGTCTTGCACAGGTGTACCAGCTTCTCCCCTTGTTGGACAGGTGTACCAGCCCCTCCCCTTTTTGAAGAGATGTACCGGCTCCTCCCCTTCAGTCTTGCACAGGTGTACCGGCTCCTCCCATTCAGTCTTGCACAGTTGTAGTGGCTCCTCCCCTTCAGTCTTCCACAGGTGTACCAGCTCCTCCCATTCAGTCTTCCACAGGTGTACCAGCTCCTCCCATTCAGTCTTGCACAGGTGTACCGGCTCCTCCCCTTCAGTCTTGCACAGGTGTACCAGCTCCTCCCTCCATTCAGTCTTGCACAGGTTACCAGCTCCTCCCATTCAGTCTTGCACAGGTGTACCAGCTCCTCCCATTCAGTCTTGCACAGGTGTACCAGCTCCTCCCATTCAGTCTTGCACAGGTGTACCGGCTCCTCCCCTGGACTGATCTGGCTTCCTCTGATATCACCGCACACTGGGAGCTTCTCACAATGTGCATTAGAAGCTGCAGCAAGTCAGGTAGAGCTCCACCTCATTTCCTGGCTGGAGGATATCCCAAATCATCCAACTCTTTCCTCCGCAGCTTGACTGTCCCTGGCCCGCCCCTTCCATTCATTGGATTTCTGTTCTTTCAATCATGGATGGAGCTCAGCATCACATGTGGGCAATGCAACCAAATATGCCCACTCCTCCAGACTGACACTCGCCCCATCAAAGCATTTTGATATTTGCAAAACTCTTCCCACTGCTTGCATCAGGGCTGAGGGCTCCTGAGAGGAGTACTGAGGGAGGGGGCTGTGATGTGTTCAGGTGCTATGTACAGCACCCTACCGGCTCCTCCCATCAGCCATATTCTAACTTCATTGCATAGAGAAGCACAGAGACTCTAAAAATGAGATATGTAATGAAAATGGAAAGATTTTATTTAAAATTGGTATTAGCAGGTTGATAAAATGGGGGGGGAAACTAGGAGGGTAAAGTGTAACAGGATTAAACTGCAGTTTTAATTGTGCTGTGTGGCAACCTTTCCGGTCCATTTCCATTCTCTGGCAGCACTGAGTGTGCATTCTAGGAGATCTTTGACCTCCTGTGATAAGATAATTCTTAATATGGAAACCCAAGAACATGCCCTGCCACCCTCGGAAGGCGGGGACCCTGACCCTGCGATCGGCAGTGTTATCAGCGCACATTTTTAGTATTTCTTCGCTTATGCAGGCCATAGACGGGTCGAAAACCTGCCGTTTAAAAAAAAAAAAAAAAAAAATCGGTCGTTCGATTAGCCGACGTTACCCTACCCTACGGCCGGCATTTAATTACTTCTGTCCCTGCAGAGAGCTCCGCTATTATATTTCACATGAAAACGTCTTGCGGTTGCAACAATGTATCCATTTGTATCCATTTCGGATACAGATGGTTTTATTCGGATACAAATGGATACATTGTTGCAACCGCAAGACTTTTTCATGTCAAATATAATAGCGGACTGGAATTCTTCTTCTTCTTCTCCTCCTCCTCCTTTTTCTTATTCTTCTTATTCTTCTTCTTTTTCTCATTCTTCTTTTTCTTCTTCTCATTCCTCTTTTTCTTATTCTTCTTATTCTTCTTTTTCTTCTTTTTCTCATTCTTCTTTTTCTCATTCTTCTTTTTCTCATTCTTCTTTTTCTTCTTCTCATTCTTCTTTTTCTTATTCTTCTTATTCTTCTTTTTCTCATTCTTCTTTTTCTTCTTTTTCTCATTCTTCTTTTTCTTATTCTTCTTCTTCTTATTCTTTTTCTTCTTTTTCTTTTTCTTCTTCTTCTTTCTCTACTTTTTCTTCCTCTTCTTCTTCTTCTCATTATTCTTTTTCTTCTTCTTCTTTTTCTTCTTCTTCTTCCTCTTCTTCTTCTTCCTCTTCTCATTCTTCTTTTTCTTCTTCTTCCTCTTCTTCCTCTTCTTCCGCTTCTTCCTCTTCTTCCTCTTCTTCCTCTCATTCTTCTTTTTCTCATTCTTCTTTTTCTTATTCTTCTTCTCATTCTTCTTCTTCTTATTCTTCTTCTTCTTATTATTATTCTTTTTCTTCTTTTTCTTATTCTTTTTCTTCTTTTTCTTTTTCTTTTTCTTCTTTTTCTTCTTCTTCTTCTTCTTTTTCTTCTTCTTCTTCCTCTTCTTTTTCCTCTTCTTGCTGGAAATCCCTTACAGCAACATTTACTTCATGTGTATTAAAATAATAAAGACAAACGCAGTTGATTCGCAAAGCTTGTATTTGTCCCTTTTCTTTTCTCAAGTCACCTGAATGTCTCGTGAATGTCACATTCACTGCATTCTAAATATGCCCCTTAGAGTGAATCCTTTGCCTAGTGCTTCCTCCTCTAGATTTCAGAACGGGTAGCATCCAGGAACAGCGTAGAGGCCATCAGTCAATGTTACTATCAACCGATCTCTGTTTTTTTTCCTTTTTGCTGTCAGACACTGTCCCCTCGAGAGCTGTGGAACATCGTTCACCAATGTTACGGTACGGAGCTGGGTCTGACCAGCGAAGATGAAGACTACGTATCTCAACGGGCTGCTGCTCAACGGCCTTGGGTGAGTGCCACCAACTCAACATCTGTCACTTCATCTCTCCATCTGTCTGACACCCCATGATTGCTGTCAGTGCGCAAGCAAGCTTTCCTAAAGCAGAGGGCAAAGAGCATAAACCAGATCAACATATTTCAGCTTTTGGCAATAAAGCCCAATTCCAAACATTTTTTTTTTCATTTTGGATAGACCTGGAAAAAAGAAAATACTTAGGGGTTTATTGATAACAACAAAAATTTGAATTTCACGAATAATGTCTGCCATGTTTATTCCCTTTGATTGTCAGCTCCACCTAGTGGCCATATTGCTGTATTTTCTTGATTGAGGTATTTCAGAGATGGCCACTAGAGGCCACATCACAGTAATTACTCATGATGGCTATGCAAATGGTTAACCACTTCCCGTCCGGCCCATGTATATAAACGGCCAGACGGTGGCAGTGCAGGGGCGGGTGGCTGTTTATAAATGGCCTCCCCACTCCCTGCTTGTGCGCGCTCCCTGGGAGCAGCCCGGTGCCTGCTGTGTCCTCCGGACACAGTGGAACACCGATCGTTGTATGGGACCTCTGTGTGAGGTCCCTGATCATGTGATCACTGATTGGCCAATCAGTGATCACATGAAGAGTGGTAAGTAAGATGTCACTTCTGACATCATTGCTTACTACATGTGAAATCTGTGAATGATCACAGAAATCACATGGTACAGGGCTATTCACAACAGCCTTGTACCATGTGACAAGCTGTGACCAATCACAGCTCACACAGTATTTCTCAATGGCTGCAAGAATGCAGCCAGAGAGAAGGAGAAATGATTGCTTTTACAGCCTTTATGGATGGTAAGAGCAATCAGTGTAAAAAAAAAAAAAAAAAAAATCTTCATCACCCCCCCACAAGTAGTACAGTGTCACTATGGTGACACTGTACTGCTAGGGTGACAGTATGTATAAATAAATAAATAAATAATAATATAAAAATAAAATAAAAAATGTAAAAAAAAATTAGAAAAATTATAATTTATGATTATAAACTAATCTTTTTTTATTTTTTTTTTACTAAAAAGATAACTGAATACATTTTGGCCAAGATTTATGAAGAAAGATTATTTATTTGCAAAATTTGTATAAGAAAAAACACTTTTTAAAAAAATGTTTTGGACTTTTTTCATTTATATAGCAAAAAAAATAAAAATCCCAGCGGTGAATAAATATCACCAAAATAAAGTTTTATCTGTCTCAAAAAAATGCTAAAAAAATTCATATGGGTACCATGTTGCATGACCGCGCAATTGTCATTCAAAGTGTGATAGCGCTGAAAGCTGAAATTTGGCTGGACAGGAATGGGGGGGGGGGGAGTGTCCGGACTGGAAGAGGGGAGAGTGTCCGACTGGAAAGGGGGGGGAAGGGGGGACAGTGTCTGGACTGGAAGAAGGGGGGGAAAGTGTCCGGACTGGAAGGGGGGAAAGTGTCCGGACTGGAGAAGGACTGGGGGGGGAAAGTGTCAGGACTGGAAGGGGGGGAAAGTGTCCGGACTGGACTGGAAGGGGACTGTGAAGGAAAAGTGTCCGGGACTGGAAGGGGGGCGGTGTGAAAAAAGTGTCTACGGGATGAAAGACTGCGAAGGGGTGGTGAAAAGTGTCCCGGACTGGAAGGGCCGGGGAAAAAGTGTCCGGGACTGGAAGGGGGGAACTGGAAGTGTCCGGACTGGAAGGGGGGGAAAGTGTCCGGGGACTGGAAGGGGGGGTGAAAGTGTCCGGACTGGAAGGGGGGGGTGAAAGTGTCCTGACTGGACTGGACTGATAGGGGGGAAAGTCCGTCTGTGGGGGAAAAAGCGTGTCCGGGACTGGAAGGGGGGGAAAGTGTGTCCGGACTGGAAGGGGGTGAAAGTGTCCGGACTGGAAGGGGGGTGAAAGCGTCCGGAACGGGGGGGAGGAAAGAGCCGTACTGGAAGGGGTGAAAGTGTCCGGACTGGAAGGGGGTGAAAGTGTCCAGACTGGAAAGGGGGGTCCGAAAAACGTGTGTCCGGACTGGAAGGGGGTGAAAGTGTCCGGACTGGAAGGGGGTGAAAGTGTCCAGACTGAAAAAGTGTCCGGACTGGAAGGGGGGTGAAAACTGTCCTGGAAGGGGTGGGGAAAGTGTCTGGAAGGGGGGTGAAAGTGTCCAGAACTGAATGGGGGAAAGTGTCCGTCCGGACTGGAAGGGGGGGGGTTGGCATGGGGTGAAAGTGTCCGGACGTGTCTGGACTGGAAGTGTTTTTTTAAGGTGACTTTTTTATTTTTGTTTATGACCCCAATGGGGAGATTTAACTTCATTTCCTGTCCCTGTGAAGGGTTGTGAGAGCAGCACGAGAAATGAGAGGAGCGTTCATCACTAGAAATGGAAGTCTCAAACAGTAATAAATGGAACATAATTGGTTCACTGAATTAGAGTTACCAGTAGTTTATGGTTATAGAAAGTCGTCCATCAGATTCATATGGGGTGCAGTAGCTCCAGTGAGGTAGCTCTCAAAAACAAGAGGGTGCTCCTAGTCCAGGGGACTTGAAATTTGGAGTCCATGCGTAAAAAGTCTAAGGGATTGATTTACTAAAACAGCATGGTGCAAAATCTGGTGCAGCTTCCAGAAACCAATCAGCTTCCAGGGTTCATTGCCAAAGCTTAATTGAAGAAGCTGAAGTTAGAAGCTGATTGGTTACCATGCGCAGCTGCACCAGATTTTGCACTCTCTGGTTTTAGTAAATCAACTCATCTATGTCTGATTGGCTGCATCGGAGACCAGAGGAGAGATCTGGGGTCTAATAAAGCCCAGATCTCTTCATAAAGAGGACCTGTCACGGCCCGTGCTATCACAAGGGATGTTGCTCATCCCTTGTAATAGCAATAAAGTCGTGGAAAATAAAATAAAAGGGACAGTGGAAAAGAAAAAAAAGTTTAAAATAAAATAAAAAATGATAGTAAAAAAATTATAAAAGGTAAAAAAGTGAGCGCTATCCAATCTGCAGCTAAGCACTCAAGGTAACCAAAAAACCTTATAAATAGAATAGTGCAGCGCTAAAACAATAAATCAGAGTTCAATGTAAGCAACAGTCTGTGTGACTAAAAGTGCCAGATAACTGGTAGGATCAATGGCGGTGCTCCGTGAGAAATAGCAGAATTACGTACTCACCAGATGCGTACTAGTTATACGCATGAAGTATCACATCTAGGGATTTCCTCATCAGATAATGGTCTGGTCAGGATTAGGTACTCATCCTTCAGTGTGGTAATCAGCAAAAAGCCCAGGAATCAGATTAATTGGATCCAGGTACCAGAGGTCCCTTTAAGGGATAGGTAGGAGAGGGTGCCTATTTACAGGATATCTTCCTTCTCTGGGTCAGGCGACTGGATCTCAGTAGTGGGCTCTGCAAAATAAATACTCCTCAAAAGGAGTCAGGAAAGGATGTCCATAGTGTAGTACTTAAATAAGGTATTTATTAGGAAAAATGGTGTTTGCAAACATAAATATCGATAAAAACAGCATCAGGGGTGTCGGGATGAAGTAACCCTCTAAAATCAAAGATGGCCGCGACGGTCACGACGTCCTGGCTCCTCCTTACGCGTTACGTGCGCACGCACTTCATCAGAGGAAGAGACCATTGAGTGGTCATGGTCATGGTAGACATTGACTACCTGGGCCTTCTTGGAAAAATAGTGGATCAACTGGTCGGTCGCTATTATATAGTCCCTGAGGAGCCTGCATTGGGATGTCTGCTAAGCACTCCGCTTTCCATAGGTACAAGTTTGGACCACAGATAGCTGTTTCTGATGGTTCCTACCAGCCATGTGATCCAGGCCCTGGTACAGCCAGGTTCTGCATGCCCGATGACCAGTTTTTTTCCATATTTTTAGGATGACTTTCAAATAAATAGATTTTTTTTTATTTGTAGGGGGAGCGAGGACTTTCCTGAAGGCCCTGATCTGAGTGACACCTCCTCCAGGGGCGACACCAAGCTTGGCACCAGCCCTCCTTTGCCAGCCACTGACTCCTTCACCTCTCTTGCCAGCAGTGATAGTATGCTAACGGTAAGTCCCTTTGCTGTGCTTGCAGATACTGTGAAGGAATTCTGTTTTTTTGAAGCCAGGCTGGAGAAACTGACCAACAGGTCACCTTATAACCAGCTTTAAAGCCAAACTCCTGACATTTACTTTGTTCAGCCAGTCTAGCGATCCAGGGTCTTCTGCCAGACTGTACAGGCAGGTCCACAGCTCCAGTGACCTGCATGCAGACTACAAGTTGACCAATATAGCCTGATTGAGCAGCCAATCTCATCTGTGATTGGACAAAAAAGGAGCAGACAGATGAGATCTCCTTTTGGGCAGGCTTTCTCTAATTGAAACCTTGGACAGAGCTGTCAAATAAGGGAGGAGTATCTTCTCTCATTCTTTTCCCTGTATTTTTTAAATTGAATTCTACCAAATTCTGGCTTTTTACAACACAAAGTGCAAAGAAAAGTCCAGAAACAATGTGAAAGAAGCCCAAAACCCCATTTGCTGGCTAAAAGGAAGAATGCAAAAAAAAAAAAAAATATAAATAATGTATAATATATATATAATATATAATTATAATATATATATATATATATATATATATATATATATATATACATATATATATATATAAAAATATAATATATACATATATATATATAATATATATAAAAAAATATAATATATATAAAAAAAAAAAAAAATATATATATATATATATATATATATATATATATATATATATATATATATAAAATATATAAATATATATATATAAACAAAAATATATATATATATATATATAATATTTTATATATATATATATAAATTAATATATATAAAAAATAAATATATATAAAAATATAATATATATATATATATATATAATATAATAAATATATATATATATATATATATATATATATATATATATAATATAATATATATATATATATATATATATATATATATATATATATATATATATATATATATATATATATATAATTTTGCATTCCTCCATTTAGCCAGCAGATATATTTATATATCTCTATATATATTTAGGCAGCTTTCTATGAACTGTCAGATAAGGATGGGGTCTCATCGCTGAGTTTTTCCTCTGTGCATACATTTTATCTTGAGCTATTGCACTCCGTCAACAAGTGTTTTTTTACAACGGGCAAAGGAAAGCCTGGAAACCTTGTAAAAGAAGCTGAAGCTCCACCTGCTGGTTCAAAGCAAAGCCAGGAAACTTTGTGAAAGGAGCTGAAGCTCCACCTGCTGGCTCAAAATGAAAATGCAAAGTATGCATGCAAAAAAAAAAAAACTTTTTTTTATAAGAAATATATATTTTTTTATTCTTGACCATATTAAATAAATAAAATATGCACTCAACTTCTACACATTGCCTTTAATCATTAGTGACAGTACAATGTCTGTATGTGGCCGGTGGCAGTTATTTCACCCAGTGACGGTGCTTACTTTCAGCCAGCAGAGGATTTGACCGGACAGTCGGACGCCTTGTCAGATTCTCAGCTGGATGGTTCCTCAAGCCAAACGGTGACTCCCCTCTCAGAGATGGCCGGAACGGGATTGCTGGACTCCATGCCTACCTTGGACCGCATGCCCAGCGAAGATCTGCCTACCGATCTGAGCAACAATTCCACCCCAAGCTCCACCCAGGACGAGGGTCAGTGCCGCAATCTGTTATACTTCATTTATGTTTAGGTTGTTCCAGGAGCAGATGTGTTGCTTAACAAAGCTCTGGTGTCCTCAGCATTGTCCAGCATTGTCTACATTTATTACAAGATGGATCTCTGAAGGCCAAACCTCTTCTGGCTGTACTTCTCCTATGGAGCATAGGAGCACACTTTGTTCTGCACTCCCGTGACCCATTTTCAGGCGACAGCAGGCTTAGTCCGCTGTTGACTGATGTCACTGAGCCGGTCCGGTCTCTGGAGAAATCCTAACTTTAAAGTCAGGATTAGGGGTGGACTAACAACTCATGGGGCCCCTGGGCAATAGGGGATCATGGGGCCCCTATGTCCTCGCCCACAATCAAACACACCCTAAAAAGCCTATGAAAGGTACCAGGGGCATCTCATGGGGCCCCCTATTGATCCTGGGCCCTCGGGCAGTGCCCGAGTTTCTGAGTGGTCAGTCCGCCCCTGGTCAGGATCCACCCACATGCACCCAGGTGAACATTGCTCTTACCATCACATGTTTTTTCCTTGGTAAAATGTTACTTTTGCTGTAGTACATTCTACAGCAAAAATTAAAAAAAAAAATAAAAAAACAAAAAGCACGAGGTTCCCCCTAAAAATTTATACCAGATTCTCCCCCCTAAAAAAATGATGTGGGTCCCCTACAAATTCTGTGAGCAGGGGGTCCCCCACAAATCCAAATGAAATCCTCATCTGATCATGCATCCTGGTTGACCGGGAGGGGGGGGGTGGCACCCCCTGAACCATATCAGGTCACATGCCTGGGGAAGATACCTTGCTCCATCATGTCAAAGCACTAAGTCCCAATGTTGATGACAAAAAGGGCCTCTTTTCTACAACCTTGGCTGGGTGGTTGGGTGGGTCTGTGAGCAGGTTGTACCCCACAAAACCAGAAGAAACCCTCACCCAATCATGCATCCTGGTTGGCCGGGCAGGGGGGAGGGGAAAGTGTGTGTGTCACCTCCCGAACCATATCAGGTCACATGCCTGGGGAAGATACCTCGCCCCATGTCAAAGCACTAAGTCTCAATGTTGATGACAAAAAAGGCCTCTTCCCCACAACCTTTACTCGGTGGTTGTTGGGGGGGGGTTCTGTGAGCAGGGGTCCCCCACAAATCCACATGAAACCCTCACCCGATCATGCATCCTGGTTGGGTGGTTGTTGGGGGGGGAGCCTGTGAGCAGGGGTCCCCCACAAATCCACATGAAACCCTCACCCGATCATGCATCCTGGTTGGGTGGTTGTTGGGGGGGGAGCCTGTGAGCAGGGGTCCCCCACAAATCCACATGAAACCCTCACCCGATCATGCATCCTGGTTGGGTGGTTGTTGGGGGGGGGGGCCTGTGAGCAGGGGGTCATTTGAATCTAAAAAAGCCAGGAAAGAAAAGCCATGCCAAATTCCGAGACGATCTGCTCCCATCACTGCCCTGTAAATGTAAACCAAGGGCCAGGAGTAATGTCATTGACCGAATATGTCCATCCCCCACCCCTTTGTTTATGTCCAGTTGTAATTTTTTTATTGAATAATATAAATATATAAAGCCCCGTTCATACCATGTGTGCATGAAAACCGATGGAAACTGACGCCCAGATTTCACCTGCAGAGACATCAGTTTTCATGTGCGCTTCAATGAATTTTATACACGCTGCAGATTCCTGCGCAGAAAAAAAATCTGCACGTGATACTAGTGTTGTGGTGTGAACAGGTCACATAGAGAGCAATTGATTTCGTAGTGCCCTTGCAGAATGCAGGCAGAAAAAGGTGTGATCGAGGCCTAACTGAATACGATATCAATATTTTAAATACTGTTATATTTATTACATTGTTATTATTTTGTTTTTTTATTTTAATATTTTTATGTTTTGTTTCTAATTGTTCTAACACAGAGCTATAATATAAATATACGTTTTTGATAGAAACATTTTGAATAATGTTATTTTTGTTACATTGTTATCATTTCATGTTTTTATTTTAATATTTTTATGTTTTATTTCTAATTGTTCTAACACAGAACTATAATATAAATATACATTTTTGATAGAAATATTTTATATTTAACATACAAAGAAGAAAAAAAACAAAGTAGAATGCAATGATCAATCTTGTTCGATTCACATTTGGGAAAATTGAGACATGGAAAGGAAAGTTAAGAGACAAGAGAAGGTTCCCCACCTAGTGGCCGGGGAGCCTGTGTATCCTTAATTTATTTACATGAGAGGTATGCTCGGTCTGTTGTGAACCGTTCAAGAAAACTAGTGAGGTGTAAATATTGGGGGGAGCATGAAATTAAGGGGGGGGATGGAGCGTAAGAAAAAACATGGAGAGGGGGGAGGGGGGGAAGAGGAAGAGCACCAATGAAGTACTGGTATGGAGTATTATATCCATTACAGATAGTAATCATGTTATTACGCATCTGGGATTGTTTAACCATCGCGACCAATGACTTGTAAATTTGTGGAGGGAGGAATTATAAATTGCTATTCTTCTCTCCATTGCACATTGGAGGTTAAGGTCAGATATGAGGCGGGACACTGATGGGACGGTGATGGATCTCCATAGTCTGGTGATGTTAGTTTTTGCAGCTGCTAAGATGTGGATAATAATGGTACGTACGTTTATCGGGAATGTGTCTATTCCAATGTGGAGAAGCGCCAAGGCGGGATTTGGAGTTACTAAAGTTCCAGAGAGTAAGGAAATTATCTGGAATATTTTGTTCCAGTACGACTTGAGCGATTTACATGCCCAAAGGATGTGGAGAAGTGTTCCTTTTTCTCCGCAATGTCTCCAGCAGGTGTTGAGGGTAAAAGAGGGCTAATTTAGTTGGGGTTAGATACCAATGATGTAGTATTTTTAAATATGTTTCCCAATGGGAACTACATTTGGAAGCTTTAAAGGTGATGGCAAATGTTTTTTCCCAAATGTTTGGGGTTATTGTTTGGCAAAGATTCTGCTCCCAATTGATTAAGGAAGAAGTATGTGTAGTAAATTGTGTCTCGGTAATGAGTGAATAGAAGGTCGAAATTCCTTTTTTAGGATACTGTTTCCTTTGATAGAAATTCTGTGTAGTTGCAGGAGTCTCTATTTCGATTGGTATTTTTGCTGTGTTAATGGAGTGGGTTATGCGCATATAGGTATATTGTTCCCTATCAGGAAGATGAAATTTCCGCTGGATAACAGAGGAGTCTAATTTATGATTCGTGTAAATGTCTTTTATGTAAAGTATACCGTGGCTTCTCCATGTTGATATATTTAGGTGAGGAGTGATGAAGTGTAAGGACGTCAGGGGAGTGGGGCTTTTCACACTGCTTGTGTTGCCTTGAGCGCGGGTTGAGAAATCAAACCAAGCATTTAGAGAAGCCTGTATGCAGGGGTGTGTTTGCAGGGTTTTAGGTTGAACTGCTCTGGGTATGAATAGTATGTCTGTTATTGCGTGTGGTAGGCCCAAGGAGGTTTCCATTTTGGTCCATATCTTCTCTTCGGTAGGGTGCCACCAGAAGAAAAGCTGGTCTAGTAAAGCGGCTTGGTAGTATGATTTCAAGTGAGGAAGACCCGCTCCACCTCTGGAGGGAGGGCGTAGTAATAGATTCGCAGAGCATCTGGGTCTGCTAGAGTTCCATAGAAATTTGTTTATTAGAGATTGAAGTTTAGCGAAAAAGGTGTGTGTGAGTGATATAGGAAGCGTCCAAAATATATATAGTATTTTAGGTAATATGCACATTTTCACGTTGCTACTCTGCCTAGAGTCGATAGTGTGGATGTGCGTAAGCATTTTAGTTCTTGAGGAATGGTTTCCAGTAAAGGTTTGAAATAAGTTGTGTAGAGTTGGTTAGTAGTTGCAGTGAGTTTGATCCCTAGATAGGGTATGCTATGTGTTTCCCATGTAAAGGGAAAATGTGTGGATATTAAGGCTTGGGTTTCAATAGGTGTGTGTAGGTTTAGTATAGATGATTTAGGTTCGTTAAGTTTGTAGTATGAAACATCTGCGTATCTGCGTATATGTGTACGTATTGAGCGAAGTGAATTATAAGGGTTGTAATCATAAGGATAATATCATCTGCAAAGAGACTAAGTTTGTGTTCACATTGGTGAAGTTTAATTCCCGTGAAGGTTGGGTCGTTTCTAAGATTGGTTGCTAATGGTTCAATAAGTAAGGCAAAAATTATGGGGGACAAAGGGCATCCTTGTCTGGTGCCGTTTGATATGCAGAAAGGCTGTGAGAGTGTACCGTTGGTCAGTACTCTGGTAGTGGGTTTGGAATAGAGAGAGAGAATTGCTGAATGCATCCAGTCTGTTATTCCGAATTTTTGTAAAGTAAGGTTCATAAATTGCCAGTGGATTCGATCAAATGCTTTTTTCCGCATCTAGTGAAAGGAGGATGGAGGGTTGTTTTTTGGTCTCAAGATGGTGTATTAGGGAGATAATTTGTCTTGTAGCGTCAGGAGCCTGTCTACCAGGTATAAATCCCACTTGATCTGGATGGATTAATGTGGGTAAATATGGAAGTAATCGTAGGGCAATTATTTTGGCGTAAATTTTTATGTCCGTATTGAGTAAAGAGATTGGTCTGTAATTTTTTATTAACTGGGGGTCTTTGCCCCGGTTTAGGGATAGTAGTTATTATGGACTGTAGCATGTCAGAGGGGAATTCCCCATTAGTTGCGGCATGGTTATAGAGTGCAGATAGGTGAGAGGTAAGATTGGGTTCTAGTGACTTGTAAAATTCATTAGTATAGCCGTCGTTCCGTGGTGATTTGTTTAAGGGGAGAGTGTTTATGGCTTTCTTAATTTCTGGTGGTGATATCGGTACCGAAAGCGATTCAAGTTGGGAAGGGGTGATGCATGGGAGATTTATGTTCTGTAGGAAGTCGCCAATGGAGAGAGTCGTTGGCTGGATTGTATTTGAGTCATCTTTTATATTGTATAGGTTTTGGTAATATATTGCAAAAGCATTGGCTATATCTTGC